AGATGACGAGCAGTAGCGCTTGAATGAAGTACGAGATAAGAACCTAATGAAGTAGTAGATCAATACTTCAGACCCTTAAGCCTACTGTTAATGCCGGGAGGGGAACTCACACCAATGCCCAAGACGTCAGGATCCACATAAGGTAACGAGCAGGTATTGTCGCAAAGCCTGACTACACAGTCCGGGAGACCCAACATGTAATCGAATGTCGTTGGAGATGACAACAACTTAGCCGGGGAGCATGCATCGGCACAAAGAGTAGGTTTTCGCGTTTGTTCGCATGTTGCAACGAAACAGCTTGCTATGTTTGCGGCCACTTTAAAAAGGTCTGTAGAATCGTTTGTCGAGAAGTAGGGTGTGAAGTTGACATTCTCTTCTGCAGTAGCAAAGTTTGTAGAGAATTCAAGATTACTACAAGTGCTGAACAGGGTTACGTTTGCCTTTTGGTCCTCCATTCGTCCGTAGCGTAGCGGATCTACTTGGAGGCCTTGAGGGATTGCCTGGAATACTCGAGTTGTATTCTTGCAGTCGTCGACACAGTTTCCGGACGGACAAATGTCGCCAAATGAGGTTTTCAGTAGTTGTTCTTCCGTCACTCCATACAGTATGGGATCCTGAAGATCAACCATCTGAGCAAATCTTGCAGGGGTGTGAGCTGGCTCGGCAGAGGAAATTCTTGACGTCGGAGACCTTGCCGCAGCAGTACTCGACGTAAGGATGCTTGCTGTACCAGTGCATGTTGATTTCTCTGACGAGCTGGACCCTCCCTCTATTGTGGGACGAGTTAGTTGAACACTTGTCGTGTAAGTCGATGATGTCGTCAACTTGGTGGGAGCTGCGGGAGTATTGGCGAATTTCGCAGTACTCTGCACTCCAGGCGTGAAGGCACCGTATCCCCCGTAGTAAGATGTTTCGTCATTCGAGCCCATTGTTACGACGCCAGATAACTTGGGTAAACTGGCAGAAATTATCGCCGACCTCAATTTGTTAAACGCAGGGAGGCTTCATAGACGTTCTCACTTACAAATGGGCTTCCAGACTTTATAATATTCTCTCAATCGCGTTAAATGATTAAGTGCTAGGTACGGGCCATTCTGAGTCGCCTCACTTAACATGGATTCTGAGCTTCTGAAAGCGGCAAAGTCCAGGGCGCGGGAATGGGGGCTGAACGATAGTCGATACACTTAGAGCGTTTTGTAGCTACACGTCATAGGTCGCCTTGTCAATATTGTAATGGTTGCACTAGACGAATGCTACAATGAACGATAAATGCTGCAGGCTCAGCCCCCCAATTGATCCTACCATGGTCAGCAGCCGGATTGTGGAGAGCAGGCTGAGGATGGCCGACTCTGAATTCGGTTTTCGTGCAATCGAATGAGCTTTTGATTGATAAGGACGGATGCTGAAGTGATTCGAAATGTTGTAGCGTGATACTTCCTGCGATTCCATAAGTAGATGTCTCCCACACATCGGAGGTCTCAGCCGAAGGCGTGCTCAAGGGCTTTTGGGCTGTGATCATCGTTGTTGGCAAGGCAGATCATTTATCATTACTACCCAGGCACCAGTGGTAACCTTGCTTCACCTCCTCGTCGGGCACTTGCAATGATTACCGTGATGTTTCCCACTTCTATCAGTCTTGACGAAGATTGAGAGCACCTCTATTTTGTGCAATGGTAAGTCAAACTGTACTCTGCGGGGGGGAAGAGGGGGGCGCATGCTCAGGCTATTGGTGAAGAGGAATCCCATCTGAAGCCACGGGGTTCAGCTCGCCCGAGTCAACAGCAGCAAGGCTTGACTAGCCTTCGAACCTCCACTGATTAACTGCTTTGGTTACTTGCTTTTTTGTACTCAAATGAACAAGTACCAATATAGTTCAAGCCACCTGGACACTGCTACTCATCTCCTCTACATTTGTCACCAGACGAACACCACTCTCAATAGCATGCTGGTCAATGATTGGCCTTCTCTGATCGTAAGAACTGAAAATGGTCTTCTGCTGGCGATTGCCAGAAAGCTTGGCACCACGATGAAGTTTCCGTCGACGTGACAAGAAAATCATAATAGTGATAAAGCAGATGACGCCCAAAGCTATGCCAACTGTAATCCCGGCGATGATCTCCGAAGATAAACCTCCGGATGATCTCCGCTCTGTGTTAGGAAGAGATGCTGTAGTAGATGTGGAACTGGGCGCTTCCTGAAGGTCCAAACGAAGACCCGAAATATTAGTCTCTGTGATGAGCAAAGGACACCTGTGATACATCAGAAGATCTTACGCTGAAAACTGTCGAATATGCGGGATCATTCACCGCTCGATCACCCCGAATAATCCAGCGCTGACCAGGGACATCAACCGAGTCGCTAACGGCTGATCCCGCAATCTGGTCCGACATGAACACGCCGCTGCCCGCGTGGCGTTCAACGATGTAGCTGGAACCATTCGCAGCGTTGAAGAGGTCAAATGTGCCATCGCCCCAGTCGAGTATATCCCACATCTGTGATTTGTCTGAGGTCGTTCTCCTCATGCAGACTGCCGTGTGTCCATTTGCCGTTTCTGCCGGGTCCCAGCAGGCTGATAGTTGGAGTCTCACACTTGTTGCGTTTGATCGAATTAAATACCGGCCTTTGGTGGAGTTTACCGGCTGGAACTGCCATGCCATAGTCTCTTTATCGTCGCATGAGTTGGTTCGAAGTCCATTGGAGGTCTGTTGCAAGCATCCTGTGATGGGACCTGTGATGTTGGTGACTCTGGCATCTGAGAGGAGGTACCAGGTATTCGAGTCTAGACTTGCTTGAGACATGCTTCTCAATCTCTAGCATTGTTTACCGACGAAACTCTCGTCGACAAGCTGTGACCTCCGTCTTCTGCGTACTTGATTTTGTTCGAGCTTCAATAACAAATATGTGCGAATGAATCGGAGGAGACTTCGAAATTGAGGAGGAGAAAGATTGTGAACATATATTTTTACTGGCGTTGGTAGCAAGTTGCTGCCTTGAATACCTACGCCGCAAATTGATGCAGTAAGCCGACCATCAGAGGAACCTCGAGACATGGAACGTACTCCTAATGGGGGCCAGATTGCTAACGAGCTCTGCAGATAGCCAATGTTGGGTCTGTTCCGTGTTCCTTACCAATGCACTGTAACTTCGTGTATGTGTGCGGTTGATTGTAGGAACTAGCTCCTGTGTATGACGAGAAGAACTCAAATCCCAGACTCTGCAGCGCTCATGAGTCCTAGCTCCAAATCTGCTTCGCAAAAAAGTCATCAGTGACATCCTAGGAGTCTTCGAGATCCTAATATTCAATTGTACGCAGAAATCTTGCTTAGTGATTCTCTCCCTCAGGTTCATCCAACTCTTTAACTTCTTGGTCGTAGGCGTGCTAATACGAAAGGTCGTCGTAATCTCCATACCGAAGAGGAGGTAGGAATTGATCCACGGCCCTAAACCATGTCTTTTGTGATTCCAAAGCGGGCTCTGTAACGGTTTCCTTGCAGCATTGAATTTTTCCACCAGACTGTCAAGTTAGCTAGCCAACACAGTGTCCTCCTCTTGTGTTTGCGGATCTTGTCATCTGATTCACCTGGAAGCGCTGCCATGCGGGCGCGTTTCAACGCAAATGCGAGACATCCACAGGCGATTAACAGTTGTCTTCCTTCTGCCTCTTCTCTACAAAAGATTTTTTGTGGGTTGAATCTACATCCCAAGTTTCGGACCATCAGATCAAGCTTCCCTGGAAACCCATTGGTGACTCGCTTGCCCGGCCTCGGGGATTATTTGACCGAGCCCGACTAAACTCCCTTTGCAGAATTCAAGCTATGTTTCGCGTCTCAAAGGCAAACTTCTGTTCGTTACAATTCGTTTGGATACTTGAACCGAGACTACAAAGGCCCCAAATAAAGGGTTAGGCCCCTAAATATGGGTATAGACCAACGAACCCATCGGCCATTCTTGTCCAGCCACTCTTTTCTCCTGCTGATGATCCCCTTGTCATTGAGGCATGCATTCAGGTAGAAATCCTTATACCTCTGCATTTCATCCACCAAACGTCCAACAACTTCGTCCCTTTGTGCGTCAGAGAGATTCGGCGTCCATGCAATGGCTGCGGTCAAGTAGTGAATGATACGGGCAAAAGAGGGTCCCTGGCTTTCGGTGGGCTCGGGTAGGAACTTCTCGTCCACAAGAAGTCGGAACGTGTTGGTTTACCGCTTGTAATACTTCTTGTATCTCTGCTTTGCAAATGTTTGCCAGCTTTCACGCGTCCATGAGATACAAGGCTAACCCTCAGGGGCAACTAGGCTGAACCTAGCCAGGAACAAATCGGTCAACTGTGCTAGCTCCCATCGATAGGTAACGAAATCGATAACGTCAATATGCCCGTAACAGCGGTCTTCAGTATCATGGCCGTGCATTTCTTGCTGGAGCATGGTGAAAGGACCGGGGCCCCAATTTACAGTCCAATTCTCTGGGAATGTAGAGATGAACATCCGAGCCATGTCCTTGACGTCGTTGCTAATCAGGCTGTCATGTATTGCCTTAGTGACGCTGAATGATTTCTGCCCGATCTTCAATCCCACTTGTCCCATACACTAGTTCTGGGTTCCTCCGGATCATCTGTCACGGAATGCCCGGTGAAGATGTAATCCTCGAGCTGATTCCACCAATGTCTGGAGTGCTCCGGCGGGATGCCTGAGTGTTCGTTCCGTGTCCAGTCCCACTGATCATCGAGGATCATAGAGGTGGCTTGTTCTTTTTATTCTTCTTATTCTTATTGCTATCTTTATAGTCGCTAAAATTACTTTTGATCTTTTGTCATATATTACGTATTGAATATCCTTTAGAGGGAAACCACGTCTGCTGGAATGTGGCACGGCCTGTGAGGAATATTGTATTGTCCTCTATGAGAACATGGGAGGCCAAATCATCGCCAATATATCGGCCCTTACCTTAGAATCTTGGACCTATTACTAGCAAGACCTTCGACACACTATGTCCTCTAACTTTTATTCAACGAGATTGTAGGCAACAGTGTCAACCGGCAGCACCAAGCCGACTATCCCAATCATCGCAAAGCAACCACAAGCCACCCAGATAGGAGCCGGGGTACTAACGTCAGCAAAAGTTGCAATGAACGGCGAAGATAGAGATGCAAGCCGTCCGACAGCCATGAGCAACCCATTTCCCAATCCTCGATTCTCCACACTCAACGCCTGTGGCGTATATCTGTGACTCAAGTCAGCTTCTCTATTTAGATCAACAACTGGTGAACTGGAGACAAAATCTCACGCGTAAATAATGGCATACATGGCATTCAGCCAGAAGCTAATCATACACGAAAACGCCAGGTTCTGAGACTGGGTTTTGACAGACGTAAAGGCAGCTGAGAAGGCAGCGCACGCGGCACCCGTCAGAACGAGGGACTTGCGGCTCCGGAGCCAGTTGTTGGAGACCATCCACATGCTGAGGGCTGGACCGAAGATGCCGACAACCGAAGTGATGGCCCAATCGCGGTAGGTGTTGTAGTTGCTCGAGTCGCCCAGGTCTGCGCCGTGGGCTCGGAGGTAGTAGGGTAGGAAGAGAGTGAATAGGGGATATCTGGGATAGAAGAACAAACTTAGTCATGCGTGCGTGCCTAAAGAGAAGAAGGGGGAAGAACCTACGCTATGCCAACCAGCACCCACAGCAAAGTTAGACAGATCATCAACCGCACCTGCGCCCAGCCTTCAAACAGCCTCGCCGCACGGCGTAGGTTCTCACCAAGGGACTGAGTCTTTGCAACAGCGTCTTCTTCGCCATGATTTGCCACGATCCCCCCTTCATTTCCTTGTTGTCTTGATTCTCTAATAAACTGTGCAACAGTAACTGTATACTCAGACCCATTCATCGCACTGATTCGATTTACAACCTCGACAGCTTCATCGAAGCGTCCACAAGAGACAAGCCAGCGGGGTGATTCATGTGTGCGGATTACCACGGCGCGGATTATGGACATGATAAGACAGAGGCCGCCGAGAGTAATGTAGAGGTATCGCCAGCCCATATTTGCCGATGTGGGACAGGTGGAGGGGGTCGCATACTGTGGGCAGCCAAAATCGACGAGGAGTCCCCATCCTGTTGTTGAGGTGCGTAAGTTATCTGCGTTGATGATGTGTAAAGGAGGGATATGACGTACCGAGGAATCCTGTGATGGAGTTTCCGAGACCCCAGACACACGCAAGACCGGCTAACATGAAGGACCATCGTCGTGGAATATTTTCGGCTAGAATCGTCAAGTCAATGGCAACTAAAGCGCCTCAGTCAGCCTCATTCTATCCAGGAGAGGATGGCCGGCTACGAAATGTTTTTACGTACGGTTTCCACCGCCGAAAAATCCGCAAATCGCAACCCAGGCATTGATAGCCGCCCAATTAGGCGACGATGCCGCGAGCATCGTGCTAATCGATATCCCAAAAATGGAAAGCTGCCACACGAGTCGGCGACCAATATTATCGGCCAACAGACCCATTGCGACAGCACCGACGAGGAGTCCTGCATAATTCGAGGCTGGGAGGAGGGTCGGATAGGTAGGTGCGAATTCGGGTGTGAGTTGAGGACCGACAAGAGAGATCGAGACGAGGAGCATCTAGAAAGATAATTAGTCATGATAGGCTCATTATCCAAAGGTTCCCTTCCATTCCGTATGTCTCAAGGTTTTGAGGCTGGGATGTCGGACTTGAAGAAACAAACCTGATCGGCAAGGAAGCCAAAGCCGCAGGACATTGTCAGCTGCCAGTGAAACTTTCCAAACCCGATAGCTTCTACGGCCTCTTCGATGACCTTCAAGTTTTGCTCAACGTCGCTTAGTCCCCCGGTCTTGAACTCCGCTATCGATCCAAGGGTGTTGCTGGGAATAGGAGCTATGGCGTTCCCCAAGTCGTCCTTGTTGACGGCGTCGTCGAGGGGTTTTGCGTGGTCGTCCATGCTGGCAGAAGAGTAAATGACACTTTCTTTTGACTCTTCGAGTTGATGATGCAAGTCACCCACGTCTTCTAGGTACTAGGGCGGAAGAGTTGCAAGATACTTAATTTAAAGGAATACAATAACAAAACCACCCCCGCAAAATGCCTTTGAGCTCGATGAATGATGTCTTGAGAAGAACCTCAAAGTCTTTGATCCTGCTCAACAACCTACGACTTGGTACGATCATGGTAACGCCGACGTTTATATATCACTTGGACTGCGGTTTTGGTATCTTGTCCAGATGCACCCTTCGCATTCCCTCCACTTCGGCCCCGTTTACCCCAGACTTCGCGAATCTTTGGTCCCCGTAGCCCGCAACTCTCCCGCTTGCAGCCTATTAACTCACGACTATCCCAAACCAAAAGAACAAAACATGTGAACAATACCCACGTAAAATACCTAGCAAAGTCTCACATATCAGTCAAACTTGCTCTCATTGGTTTTTTGGGGGAAACGGAACACGGCCCGGATGGGGACGTGAACACCAAAGTGGGGACGGACCGGTATCTCCGTGGCACCTGGGGACGATGAATCGCCTCGCTATCTGGAGTATGTTCCCCCCGAACCCCCGCCTCACCCTTTGACAGATGAGACTAGGTCTGGTAGCTCCTACCGATAGCGGGCATGGCAAGAGGGGTGAGGTAAGGTAATTGCCGAATGAAGCAATTTTTCCCTCCTCTTTCGCCCCAGAGGTGAGATATCATTTGCCATACCTACTTCACGTATATATACGCTCTAGAGTGAAAACTCCTTGTGAAGTATAGAAGTTTGATCCCCATCCCCCCTCTCAGTCCCCGCCAAACTCTGCAGGCAGCCAATGTTGTACTTTTTCCGCGTTACTTCAATGACATTGCCATGTAACTTTGCATTTTGTGCGTTCTATTGCGATGACTACGTCCTGTTTACAACCAGACGACCTTGAGAGAATTCATGGTATATCATCAAGATAGGAGGCATTGGTGAGCCCTGGGGTAGGTAGCCCAGGCTCGAGGTCGACGCGTTTGCTATCTCCCCTTACCAAGGGAAAAGCTCTCAACCCAGTACGTGATATTCTACGGCCACCTTTGAGCCGCTCTGGCAGCACCGCTTCGAACGTTCCCTTCACGTTCAGTACGAGCATCAACTTGGCACGGTATTTCTGCTAGGCACACTCAGTGTCGTGGATAGCATCAGGGAAGAGGGCACTTCATAAATGAAGAGGGGAGCACCGAAGTGTTAGTCGTCTCGTGTCCGGTGCTTCACTTTGATTCAGGCGAGTCCTTTTGCAGCGAGTCTGTCCAAGCCTTTACCAATCGTACGCAAGAGCGCTATTGACTTAGGTATGCGAGCGCGAAAGAGCCCGGTTCCTCACATCCGGCTTCTAATTATGCAGAATGCCATTCCTCTCGTTTGCATCGCTATAAAGCGAGAACACAACGACCTCAATAAGGGGCTGCGGGAAAGGCAGCGGAAATTCCATCGGATTGGGGTAGTTTCTCACATAGAAGACTGAGCTTTGTACCTCATCCTTCATAATCTATGGGAAAGAAAGTTTAGCCGTAAGATGGGGTTCCAGGACCTCTGTTGATATGTCCGCAAAGATATAGCAGCATTTCTGAGAGAAATGCAGGCAAGTTACACTTTTCTTCCAGTGCGGATTAATGATGCTGATAGCTCGCGTCAGGGAATTTATGCACGGAATTCCCGGCCAAAGGTAGGCTTTGATTAGACAGTTTACTTTGAAAATCATGCATAAAGTGCTAGTGGGAGTCTCTTTCCTTACAAGTAAGTCAAACCCCCCACTTCCTGGCACCCCCCTGTTTCTGGCACCCACAAAAACGATGGGATCACAACCCAACCTCCTCATTACTATTAACTATTGATCCTCAACCACACCCACTACAATACAACTGCCAGCCTCACTAGGGCATTCAGAGTCGCTGGATTCAGCCGTAATAACCTCCTTTTCACCCGCTTCGATTTGAGCCCGATGGATATCCCTGATGTTCGCAAACTTCGTGTTGGGATCGATCTGAACTCTTCCTCTTCCTAACTGCAGCGTTGGTAACTTGAGGCGGTGAGCCAGCTGCTGCTGGGCAACTGCCAGTTGCCAGGCCTGCTCTGTGAAGCCTTTTTCACCTTCCTGAACAGCAGCCGTTGAGTGCTGGTATCATTGTCGAGTTGGGTGTATAAGTGCAGTTGACCGCTGAGCTCTGCCAGCTTCCTGGGTGTCGACCAGACCACTGCAGAGGAAGCAGAATCCCATGGCTCAACAGGGGGTTTGTTGACCATTATGGCATCGCTTTTTGCCCCGACTGGTTGGTTTGGGTGTGGTGGGCTTAGCAGAAGGCTCAGGTAATACCATAGGGTTCATCAGGGCTTAACCATCGCTACAGGGTGTAGACCAGTCCACTTCCAACTTCTGATGTTCGAGACTGATAGACCAGCAAGTCGAGCCTTCTGGTAACAGTCCAGGAAGTTCCTTTTACCTATAATGGTAGAGTCGTTCCATTGAGACAAGTAACCGAGCTCCTTCCGATAGGCTGACTTAACAGGGCTGAAGACAGACTGGTCAAGTGGCTGGAGGACATGAGAGGAGTGTGGTGGTAAGAACAGTAAATGGATATTGTTAATATAGCAATTCCACATGAAGTCTGTCGTCGTATGACTCCCATGCCCATCCACAATCAACAGTCGAGCCTCGCCCTCAGCCTCGGGCATAGTCTGTGGGATAAACACCTTCTCTAACCATTCAATGGCAGTTAAGTCTGTAGTCCAGCCATTATCTGTTGCTGTAAACTCCCACCCATCGTATGGAACCAGATGTAATGGAAACCACTGTTGTTGGACCGTCTTCCCTTGAAAATGATAAGAGGACAAGTGCCCTACCCAAGGCTGAGATACACTCAATGATAGAGACCCATGCCCTCGACCCAGGTTGTTTCTTGCGAACAGACGTCGTCTCAGCCATGCCCAGCACTAACCCATTAGCTCCCTGACCCTCGAGGATGCCAGTCTCATCCATATTATATCTGTTGGCTGGTTTGATGTCCTTGATCTCAGGGATAGCAAGGAACTTAAACCAGTTCCTAATGACCTCAGTAGATGCCCCATTAACGCGTCTAGAATCGATGGAACGACTTCTCTGAACCTTAATGATAGGGTTCCTTCTCACGAAGGCATAGATCCAGCCTTTTCCTAATGGTTTGGTATCCCCAGCAGCAGCCAGAACTCGCTCTGCGAATTCCTTCACCTGTTGGTGCGTTGGTGCGAGGCCCAGCGAAGCCTGAATGCGAACCCATTGTGCCAGCTTACTCTCCTGGTCAGGAGACAGCCTCTGCCAGTCAGCAAAAGCCACTTTCCTAGTCTGACCACCTTGGAGACGTAGTTGGAGGGTTGATCGTGGTATCCCATACTCCAATGAGGCTCTCTTTTGACTCTTGCCGTTTGAGATGTCCTCGAGAGCCTGACGAAGCTGATCTTCGGTATATTGAGGCATTAGATATAGAAGAAGGTATGTGCAAAAAATGAGCCCATTTGGACTCGAATTGAAAATGTTGTGATAAAAGGAGGTTGGGGGTGGGCATTGCGTTGTGGTGGATTTTCGCGTTTTTGTGGGTGCCAGAAACAGGGGGATGCCGGGAAGTGGGGGGTTTGACTTAAGCAGTTGAAAATTTTGGTCTATAATCAGAAATTAAATTTATAAGAGAGGAAGCTGATATGAAATATAAGAAATAAGAAAAACTCAGGTTCATTGCATCTACTCGTTCTTCATATTTCTATTATATTAGACCTACCGAGTGTCACTTCACGCTCCCGCAATAGTAATGAAATGATAGAATAATGAGATAAGTATTCATAGCTTGGTTCTCTCGGAGTGCGTCTTGAGACAGGACTAGTAAACAGTTGAAACAGGTAGTACTTTATCGCGAGTTCAAATCTCGTTGGCAAATACGCAGCCAGTGAAGAAGTTCGTGAATGGGATTAGTCGTCTATAGCCATCCTTCCCCTCATCATGGTATCAACAACCCAGAAATATGCATACATGAAACAACAACGCTCTACACAAGCGCCGCAACCAGCATTATAGATGCTCACTTCTTCACCTCCGTGCTCCCAATCGCCGTCGTCCCGCTCGCGGTATCAGGGGAATCAAGCAATTCGGGCCCAGGGTCCGCCTGCTTATTCAGACTCCCCTCCCCAACCTCCCTCTCCACCTTCTTGATATCAACATCCTCGGCATCGAGCTGCTCCTCGCCAAACGGCCCGCTCGTCTTGACCCCCTCCATTGAATCCGTATCATTACCATCCTTGCCGCCACTCAACACGCCCGCATCGTCCTTGACGCTGCTTGCACGGCTCACATCCGCGCTCTCAGGGCTCTCATTCCTCAGTCCGAGGTGCTTCTCTGCCACGGGGTCCTCTTTGTTATGACCCTTCCAATCAGCAGCCTGCATCTGCGGAACGGGTGACCCAGATGAGGGCTCGTTGATGATCTCGCCGGCCGTGGGCGCAATCACCTCGTCGCCACCGTCTTCGGCCCGCTGAGAATCTGCCACACGCCAGACAACGGCGATCTTGTCAAAGGCGCGGGAGCCTTTACGGCTAGATCCCTTGATGCCGTCCATGGCATCCCAGCTGATCTCAAAGACGCCGCTGGCGTCAGCCTTGCCATCTTGCTCCGGGCCGTTACCTTCAAAGAAGACGTTGAACCAGACGTGCGCAACAGCGGTGACCATTGTGAGGCCCATGGAAGATGAGGTGCGGTTGCGACGCTCTACTGAGATGTTGACGTCGCTGTTGGGAATATGGATGGGCTCAGTTGGCTTGAGAATGACAGCCATACCGCCGGGCTCGCCGTCTTCGCCACCATTTGACTTCGTTTGGGCTTTGGCGTGTGACTGCTCCGCCAACGGAGCATCAGTATCGCTTCTCTTCTGAGCCACGCTCGGCTCGGGTGTGCGAATTAAGGATGTCGTCGCCGCATTGCGCAACTTCTTTGACTCGCTTCGGGTAGGGATAGTATCATCCTTCTCAGGCCCCGAAGCATCCTTGTCCGAGCTGCTCTTCTTTGCATTGTTGGTGTTGGTAGGTTCCGACAGAGGCGCCGCGGCAGGCGCCTTCTCCGTAGGTTTGACGCTGACACTGGCGAGATCGGATACCATCGAGCCGACTCCGCCCCCGCTTGGTGCATCGCCCTGGACGACGATCCTCTCGCTCTTCTTGAATGTGTGAAAGACCTTGATCTTCTTTCCCTCCTCCGCGAAGCCTTCGACGTCAAACTTGACGCCACTTCGCAGACCCCAGACATGGATCTCCATGATCTCAATAGCCCGGTCAACGTACTTCTTTCCACCCCGAGTCCACCTGTCGACGTATGTAATCGTTCGCAACTGGCTAGGAATCGAGATGCCCGCTCCAAACTTAGGCCGCATTCTCCTCTCCGTGAACCTCGTGAGAGCTTCTTCGGGCTTCCAGCCGCACTCAGAGATAAGGTAGCTGCAGGATACTGTTCCACTCCTGCCCTTGCCAGCCTTGCAGTGAACGACGACGACCCTCTTGTCATTTTTCTCCGCAGCCTTGTCAGAAGCGCTGACGGCAACATTGCCCGGCTCGAGATCGCCTCCCTGAAGCCAATTCCGCATGCTGGCCATGATCATGGGAATCAGGCGGAACGGGGGCGGGTGGTGATCAGGCCACGGGTAATGTCGCACTCGGCCGTAGACCTCCTCGTCAGGGTACCCCGTTCCCTCTGCGCGGAACTCCCATATCGCCCATTGATCCTTGTGCTTAGAGTCGAGGAAGGTGACGAGCCGATCGAGCGGGTTTCGGTAAGCTCTTTGGGGGTATGTGCCTGAAGGACCAGATCTGGGTAAATTAAAAGGAGTTAGCTCTTTTCCTTTGAGATAGTGTTTGCTATACGAGTGCTTTCATACGTTGCAATGATGTTGTTGGTAACATAGCAAAGATCCAAGTCCGACTCGGCGTGCCGTGCTCGAGGTCCCGCAACAATCTGTCGAAGTAAAGAGGCCATGATGGAGACAAATCTATCGATGCACCCAGGAAAGCGGAGCAAGGTTTAGGACGAACGGGCGCCAAGGAAATAGGGACTGTTGCAGCGCTTGTAGTATAAATGGGCGATCGGAAGTCTAACCAAGGCGTCCTCCCTCATGACGGCCTACTGTGTCGTAGCTGCGCCTTGGTCGCGTGCGGGAAGTGAGCCTTGACGTCGGCCTCCAAGCAGGGGAGGGCGACGTCATTCGTAGTGGGGTGAGCCGGGGAAGAGCTGCCGAGCTACGCCACTTCGGGTGTGGCTAGTGCCGTCGTCCGACCCGGCTTCTTGGCAGCATGTGCTCAGCCCTTGACTTAGCCTTTGGTGTTGGTATCTCTAGCAAACTCCGCAAACCGCAAAGATTCAAGGAAAGGACGAAGAAGATAATTGTGTAGTCATGCGAATTTGGATTTACTGCTCAATCAAAACTAACAAACAAAGGCCGGAGCCAGTGAGCAAACGGGAAACCTGAAATCATCGTGTGATGCAGAGAGCAACCAGGTAAACCACCAGGCCCCAAACTCGCCTACACTATAATAACCTGAATTACCGGCGAAACACCATGTGAACCTTGGCCGGCCATGAACCCTCCCGCTCATTTCTTTTCCTTTGCGACCGTATACTCTCGTTATAAACCTCTTTGCGTAATCGTCCCCTGTCGAGAAATATTGTCATCCTGGTTGGCTTGCAACCTGGCTCTTCGCAACGGCGGAGCCGCTAGACAATCAGCCTCATCTCGAAAAAGGCTTTTGTCATTGCACCCTTGAAGGTACTCGTGACTTTTAATCGTTTCGCTTGTTTCGCCAAAGCTTTACGAAGTCTTCTTGGGGACGGCGGTGCCGCTGAGGTAGCGGTTGGGGTCAGTGTAGGCGTAGAACTGGCGAGCGCCTCCCTTGACGGTCTCCCAAGCCTGGCGGGCGGCAGGGGGAGTGCCCTGGTTGCCGACAGCGGAGTCGACACGGGACTCGAGAAGGGCGAGCGAGTTCTGGACGTGGGTGCTCTGGGTGAAGCGAGCACGAAGGAAAGCAGTGTAGATGGCAATCAAGATCCAGGAGCGGCGCTGGAAGGTAATGGCAGAGAGGAGAAGGCGAACCCAGAGAAGAATCTCGAGCGAGGACACGACAGACATGGAGGCATCGTAGTACTCCTTGACGAAAGCGCCAATCTTGTCGGCGATCGGGTTGTTCGCGTACTGGGCCTTGCCGCTAGGGGAAGCACCAGCAGCAGGCGTGATGGGCTTGGGAGGAGTGATGGTGGGGATCACGTTGGCGCGGGTGTAAGTTGCGACGTGGAAGATCGAGTAGATGGCGTAAGGGAGCATGGCCAGGGGGTACTGGGGGGACAGAAGCCACACCAGGGACATGACTGGGGTCGCATGGTTAGAAGCGATTCCCCCGCAATAAGAGAGCAAGGATGCAAACTCACCAAGATACTGAACATTCTCGTCGGCGATCAGGGCCAGAGGGCTCTGGGGAGCCTTGGCTCCAGCCTTACTGCGTGCGCGGAGAGTCTTGTAGACGACAATGCCGTAGGTCAGGGCAGCAGACAGGAATGTGAGTCTGTAGCTGAAGCGGGCGATCCGGCTGTAGTAGTTGAAGGAAATGTAGGAGAAGCCATAACGGATAACGGCAAAAATCAGGGACAAGTGTCTGCAGCAAGAGTTATCAGCCAACGTTTGCAGATTAGAGGTTGATTTCGTCGACTGTGAGCCCATCGGGCATCTCCGCGTGCGTATCTCGGGGCGTCGGGTTGCAGGGAGGGAGCAGGGCGTCATATCAGGATGGTCTGTACATACCCGGCGAACCAAGCGACTGTTGATGGAGATGTTAGCAGCTGTTTGTAGCGACAGAGACATGCAGGCGAAAAGACGGGAATCAGCATACATTGCAGGGTCTGGGCCAGAAGCAAAAGCCTCTGGGTCAAAGGGACGTTGGCAGGCGGAGGGGGAGCCATCGTGATGCGTTCTGAGTGCGGCGGCTCTCAAGGGCAGAACAGATGTGTGTGGAATATTCGATGCAGCAGTCGAAATTGGTACTCTGTAGCGATGTCGTAGTTGAGGAGAAAGCTGCGACGGTAAGCTGGTGGTTTTTGTGTCGTGTGAGAAGTTTCTCGGAGATGCAGTTGCTGGGTTGACTTTGGGGAAAGCTGGCCAGAATGCGCAAGAAGTTGAAGTGATGCGGCGGCGGGGACTCGAGTGGCTGGTCCAGTGTGCATGGAAGTGTCCAGTGCAGAGCAGAGGAGACGGAGGGGGTGGAGGGAAGATGGAGCCTGGACCAGCTGAGGAAAGCGGTGGTCGGTGCGTCGGTGCGTCACTGCTTCCTTCTTCGTGCTTCCCTTTGGTCGGTTCCCTCTTTCCTTCCCGCCGTCGGTCCCTCTTTTTTTTTTTTTTTTCTATTCTTATTTTCTGTGTGGCTACCAGGTATTTTTGAGCTTCCAGGTTGGAATACGTATTCGTACATACCCAAAATTCCCCAAATTCCAGTCTAGGGTCCTGGACACAGAAGCGGCAGATCTGCACTCCGACCATGGGCGAGGGAGTGGGATTTGCTCCAGATTTTAAATGACAGACAGGTAAAGACAGGGCTCTCTGGCTTTTGTTTCCGTCTCATCCCAGCGTCACACAGAGAATCGTGTTTGGCGAATGAGCGCTGCCACACACATGCAAAGAAGCTCAATGTTTCCTTTTATCTCGAGTGTTTTGGAATTTCCCGTCTTCAACGGCGGCACAGGAAGGAGATCTGACCGCGAGAACCCAACCGTCCGTCAGGTCAGTGTGAAGATGAGACGACGGCAGAAAATCCGTGCCCCAAACAGGACGGGAAATATCAGCAAACACCAGGGCCACTGAAAAGCATGTGCATGCAGTGCAGAAGGGAGAGCCATTTTTTTGGTGGTACACGCATGTCTCTGCACTCAAATGTGTAGTCGATAATATGGAAATGGAATGATATGGCCAGAGCTCCCTCCAATGACGAATGAATCTGGCAGGGGTATTGTGACAAAAGCAGCACGAAATGCTCATCCCCTAGATACCTAACCTACGTGTCGATATCTGGACGCAGCTGTGCCTTGGACAGGAGACTCGAGAGTCGAGACTCTTTCATCACCACTGGCGCTAGCTCCGGACTTTCCTGGCCTGGTGTCAAGCCACAATCATCGGCTCGTTTCTTTTCGTCATCATCACGCCTGGTCTGTGCGACAGCTGCAGGTGATAGCTCCGTCGAGTCCATAAAGCTTTGACCAATGAGAATTCTCCGCATCTAGTCTGCTTAGTCACACTGTACCTTCCCGGCTAACCTTCGGTCGTTTGGACAGTGTCAATCTTACAGATGTCCACTGCTCCCATTACCCCTGCTCAATTGGGGAAGCTGTGGCGTCACAAGCTCCCGAGCTTTTCGAAATGTTGAGGGCTGCAGCTTCGTGGCTTCACCTCAGTCCATCGACCAGACGGCCGTGTTGATTTGCGCACTGCTCGACACCACAAACAGCCACGATGCCTCCAAAAGCAGCCCCTCGACCAAGGGAGTTCGTCCATCCCGAAGCTGGACATGCTCGGAAGAAGTGAGTTACCCGACTTTCTTTGCCTCTTCTTTCATCTAGAAAATGCCCCTCCACTAACAGCAACCTCTCAACAGGCCCCCCAGCGCTTTCGCTATCGAGCCCATCTCGGCATTCTACTGCTTCCTGATCGCCAACATCATCTCTGCTCTCTTCGCCCCGATTCAAGACTGCGATGAAACATTCAATTACTATGAACCGACCCATTACCTGTCCCACGGCTATGGCCTACAAACGTGGGAATACTCCCCCACCTACGCGATTCGCAGCTGGCTATACGTTGGTCTACATGCCATTGTTGGGAACATTCGCCGCTTGATGCCACAGTCCACCAAGGCAAGTGCATTGCCGCACTACAGAGTACTACTTGCGACCAATTGCTAACCATCACCAGGTCGGAGAGTTCTTCTTCATCCGCTACGTACTCGCTTTCGGCTGCGCCTTGTGCCAGACCCTTCTCTTCCGTGTCATTAGCCTCACCCTCAATGCACGCATCGGCCTGTTCTTCATTCTGGCCACCGTCTTCAGCCCTGGAAACTTCCACGCAAGCACCGCCTATCTGCCCTCCAGCTTTGCCATGTACATGGCCATGCTGGGCGCTTCGTCCTTCATGAACTGGCGGGGTGGTCTCAAGACCGCTCAAGGCATCTTTTGGTTTGCTGTCGGTGCGGTGGTGGGCTGGCCCTTTGCCGCGGCACTCTGCGCGCCATTCCTCGTCGAGGAGGCTCTCTTCGCTGCCTTGAGTGATACGGACCGCTTGATTGAAGCTATCATGCGCGTGGTGAGGGGCGTCGTTGCGGGCCTCATTGTTCTTGTAAGTTGGCGTACTGATTCATTCGTAACCAATCACTGTCTAATACCAACTAGTTCTTCGATGGCGTTATCAATACCTTCTTCTACAAGAAAATCGAGGTCGCAGCTTGGAACATTGTCAAGTACAACATCTTCTCGGAGACCGGCGGCCCTGAACTGTACGGCACAGAACCTTGGACCTTTTACTTCCGCAACCTAACCCTGAACTTCAACATCTGGTTCGCGCTTGCGCTCGTCTGCCTGCCTCTGTTCTTGCTGCAGAAGATCGTTTCTCCCTCTGGCCAGGGATTCCAGACCGGTCTTCGTGCACTGGTCTTCATCTCGCCTTTCTATCTGTGGCTCGGGATTTTCACTCTTCAGCCTCACAAGGAAGAGCGTTTCATGTACCCTGCGTACCCCTTCCTTGCCTTGAACGCAGCAATGTCATTGCACATTGTACTTACCGCGCTCGGCAACTCCGATCCAAAGACCCTCGTTGGCAAGATCCCTGCCAAGCTCAAGCTGTCCTTGGTCACCATCACCCTGCTACTGTCATTCGATATTAGTCTTTCCCGAGTGTACGGCATTTGGTCTGCCTACTCTGCCCCTTTGAGTCTTTACAAGCCTCTCGGAGCTGGCGTCAGTGGCCAACAAGGCCTTGGTGTGCGTGGCGACAATGTCTGCTTCGGCAAGGAATGGTATCGCTTCCCGTCATCCTACTTCCTGCCTCGCGATATGCACGCAAAGTTCGTTCGCTCAGAGTTCAGGGGCTTGCTCCCAGGTGAATTCTCCGAGGCTCGCACTGGATTCGGTTTCTGGAGCGGTACCTGGATGCCAACGAATGGCATGAACGACAGAAACCAAGAGGATATGGGTAAATATGTCGACCAGAGATTCTGTGGCTTCATGGTGGACACACAATACCCTGAACGAACCGCTCCCCTGCCTCCAAACGAGCCCGACTATATCGCTGATGAAGAGAACTGGGAGATTGTCAAGTGCATCCCCTTCTTGGACGCGGAGAATACCCATGTTTTGGCCAGAGCGCTCTACGTGCCCAACCTTCCGTTCGTCCCAGAGCAGTTTAAGCGGAAATGGGGCCGTCACTGCCTGCTCAAGCACAAGAAATGAAGTGACCCTTCGTTATGATTGTACCTTTGAAGGCGGATTCTTGAGCCATCTTTTAGGAAAGCATAAGGCTGTCTAGGGGGGCTGCCTTTGCAGTTAGGCCGGGCATCTTGACCAAGGATTGACATGGCTCAGCAATCAACTATCCTGATGGCGATGCAGCCGTATTTGTTACAACACGTATCCAGGATGTGAGAGATCGAGAAGCTTCACGGGCAGATAATGTTTCAGAAAGACGATGGCCATATGGCAGTCGCTGGGCACCACAACAGTCTGAGCACCGGATCAACTCTCAGACTTCATAGCTGGGACAAGGTCGTGAGCAGCAGGAAGAACTGTAGAGCAAAGCGCAATCTCCTCCAGTCTTGAGGGGCCAAAGAGATCGCCGGCATTGTCTTGCAGGAAATCACATGAGGTCACCCAGAAGCTTTACAGAACAAGATTTGAGTTCTGTGCCCATCAATAAAGAGCATAAGTACATCTATTCACTACTGTGCAACCTTTCAAATGCTCGAGCATCGATATGCGTTTTTATCATACCTAGGACATGAAATTTCTAGAACGTCATCATGGAAGGCCATTGACTGGACCTAAAAGATGACCGACAAGCCCCGCTTCCAAACAGTCTTCTTCTTCTCAGTCCCTTCGTAGACATCATCGAGCTCCTCCTCGGGCCGTCTTCCCATATCAAGATCAACGCTGTGCAAGTCGACGCCGAAGCCCCAATCCTTGGTGTAGACCTTCCAAAACAAGAAGAGGGAGATGGTGATGGGAGCAGCCAAGTATCCCTGAAAGAAGGATTCTGCGCTCGGCTTCCCTCCGACGGGCTGTACAAGCATGAGTAACATAGTCAACAACGCTTGAAAAGAGGAATGAGATCTGCAGACTTACAAAGAGCGAAGAATAAAACGTCGCAGCAAGCGAACAACAAACCAAAAACACACCAACATGACTCCCCACCACACCCAGCGCAGACCTCCAGGGGATATCCTCGGGACTCCTCCCCTGCACCTTCCACGCCTTGCGGAAGCGGATGTGCGCGATCATGATGCTCGCGTAGGCAAACTGGCCCGAGAGACCCGTGACGGCGAGCAGCCAGTTGAAGACGGTCTTGCTGTCGGCGGCGACGGTGATGAAGGAGATGAAGCCGAAGGCGACCTGGAGCGCGACGCAGTAGATGGGCCGGCCGGACTTGTCGATCTTGGCGAAGATGGAGGGGGCGCGGCCGGATTGGGCGAGGGCTTGGAGGACGCGGGTTGAGCCGTAGGTGCAGCTGTTTGCGACGGAGATGACGGCGCAGGTGATTACTGTGTTTGGAAGTGTTAGAGTCACTTGATGATATAGCTTGAGTGGTATTCAGAACGGGTGTATGGGAGAAGACGAGGAAAATGAGATGATATCAGACGTACCGCCGTTGATGATGTGAGGGAGAACTTGGATGCCGGCGAGTTGGACGGCCAGAACAAAGGGGGATGCCTTTGTATTTGCGCCGCTGGCGCCGAGGAGAACGTCGCTGTCCGAGGGGACGATGAGGCCCATGATGAAGATGTTGAGGATGTAGAAGAGGGCGATGCGCCAGAATACCTGGCGGGTGGCTTTCGGGAGGGTCTTGCGCGGGTTCCTGGCTTCGGCGGCTGCGAGGCCCACCATTTCAGTGCCGCCAAAGGAGAAGGCTGGGATATTTTTTTGTTTAGTTTCCAGAGCTCTCGAACCATTATAGACTTTGACGTGGATATAGGGGCGGTAATGTAGTAAGAGAAGGAGGTGAACTCACCGGCAGTCACGAAGACGGAGCAGAATCCTTGGAAGCCGTTCCTGAAGGCGCCTGGGTCGTGCCAGTATTGCGCGCCGATGTAGCCTCTCGGGTCCGTGGGTACGCCGCCGGCGTTGATGATGATGCCGAGGATGATGAAGCCGATACATGCGATAATCTTGACGATAGCGAGGATGAATTCGACTTATGGTATAGAAGAGTTAGTCACAACATCTCATGTCTCACTTCTAGGGGGCATTGGGATGGGGGCAGCATCGTAGCTTGACTTGAGGGGAGTGTGAACTCACCCTCGCCGTACCCACGGACCCCAAAGACTTGGATGATGATCAACAGAGACATGAAGACGGCGCACCACACGCCGGGGTTGACTTCTTCTCTGCTCTTCCAGAACTCGATTGTGATGCCGGCTGCGGTGATTTCGAAGGGAAGTGTGACCATCCATCCGATGGAGTATTCCCATCCCATTGCAAAGCCCCTGGCGAGACGTTAGACGTCGGAACGGATCTTTATACACGACTACGCAGCTAGAAGGGATCTCACCAAGCTGGGTCTATGAAGCGAACGGCATATTCGTAGAAAGCTCCATTGACCGGGTAGATGATCGCAAGTTCTCCAAGAGCTTGAACGGTACACATCATCATGCAACCAATGATGATGAAGCCTATGAGCTGCAGACCACTCAGCTCCGCTTCAACTTGGTAGATGATATTGATGTAGAGATACTTACCAGAGCAGCTGGACCTCCCGTCCGCAATGCTCCTCCTGTCCCGACGAAGAGACCTGCACCGATAGAACCTCCTGGGAGGAGGCGGATTAAATCAGACTCTGAATGGCTTCCGTGATGAGCGACATACCGATCGCAATCATTTGCATATGCCGACCCTTGAGCGCCCTCGACAACTGCGGGTGCTGTGGCTCGATCTCCCCCTCGCCATTGCTAGACGTGGGCTGAACGGCCGCTTCGCTGGCATCGAGCTTCTTCTCCTCTACAGTCATTCTGTAAAACGATGCAAGTAGTGTTTTTGTGTTTCAAAGGTCAATTGATCTACGTATTCTCAAGGGACGCCCAGACTCTACGCGGGATTCCGTCTGCTTAAAGCAATTCAATCCTCGTCCGATTGTATGCGACATTATCTTTGCACGCGATTTCGCGCCCCTGAACTGCATCAACCCCCCATTCTCGAATGGTGCAACGACAAGGTCACGCTTATCAAAATCCTGGGAAATGTTCAGGATGCTGGTATCAGAGCGTTGCTACGCAGATAGTTAGCGACTGTTGGTGGTTGGGATCGACGTCACTGGGGGCGCGGGTTTACGCCGGGCGTTGAGACTCGGTCAATGGGAGCAATGAGCATGGAATTCCTCCTTCTCGTACTTCTTGGCAGTCGTATCGCTCGTCTCTTTTACTCCGTTTCGAGAACAGATGTTGCCGGCAGATCTCTTGACACGAGATGTGAGTTCCGTCATGAAGTTACTTCAGCTGTATTGCACCAATACGGAAGATGGTGGGTAGTATCTTCATCATAACAACTCGCACGTCGCAACTATTTCGGTCCGTCTTCACTCCGGAGCGAAGATAAGATGCAATCCCGGCAGATCAAGTACGATGCCCCGATGATAAAAGGGGAAGGCGGGGGGACCTGATAAGAGCCCTCGGGGTGATGTTGAAAAGATGGTGGGGTCGTATCGGAGGGGTGCCCGGTGAGTGGGTCCGATACGGAGTCGTCTCCGGTCCCTCGTACTGAGTGCTGCCCGGATGGGGTAATAGCAACCTACGCCACGTGCGCTTCCCCTCACGGACGAGCCGTAGCTTATCTACGCCCGCTCACTGCGGCCCACGGCAGCCAACGACACACGTATCCGATAGCCAGTTGGCGTTGATGCCGTTGTGGCTGTCGAGTGTCAAGGACGCCCGAACTTGCGGACGGGCATAGAGTTTGTCAATTGTCAGCGAATCAGTTCCTCCGCCATGGAGGTCCAAGACTGAAGCGTCATCGCTTGTACACTGGGATCACCATGCATCTGGTTCCGGGTATCGGATGTATACTAGACTAGTTGCGGTGGTGTTTGAATCGGCATAGCTCCGAAACGGCACGATCCGGTGCGATAGAGGTTGGGCATTTAGAGCAACCCTCATGCCATTTCCCTCCTACTTAGATACCAAGCGCAAGGTTATATCGCTTCACAACTCAAAGTACTCTCTTCATAACCCTGCAGCCATCAACTCCTCCATCACACCATAAACAGAGACACAGCTGTGCCCCTACTACGCCAAAGATGAAGTCCTCTTTGGGACTCTTCGCCGCCAGGCGTTCGTGGGGTACCACGATAGCCGTCAGATCTGATAAGCGCGCCTACGGGAAACCGACAGAGCCAAGACAGTCACTCGGCGCCGCCAACTCACCACACGCCTCAATAAACGACACAACTCCCTTGACGTTGAAGCCGGCTCTGACGCCAGCAAAGACAAACAGGAAGCCCGTCGATGGGTTCCCGTTGTCCGGCATGCCGACGGGCACACTCCTACGGTCCCTCCTCGTCACCACAATCTCCTCCAACCGCTTCCTCCTCATCCCCGCACTCAAAACCTTATCTTTCCTCGCCAAGCCGGGGCGGACGATCTTGTTCGACGTCGACCGCAACCCCGTCTTGCACAAGATTTTGCGAAAGACGTTTTATGACCAGTTTTGTACCGGCGAGACGCCGCAGGAGACCAAGGCGACTGTGCAGAGTCTCAAGGATTTGGGGTTCAGGGGGGTGATTCTCACGTATGCTAAAGAGACTGTCTTTGATCACTTGACGCAGTCTTCTGTTGAGCATGGGAAGCTTGTTGGTGCGTCGGCGGATGGGTTTGATGAGGATATTGAGTCGTGGAAGAAGGGTACCCTCGAGACCGCTGCGCAGATTGAGGAGGGTGATTACCTCGCCATTAAGTAAGACACAACATTCTCATGCAACCCTGGGTCAGAGATGCTAATCAAGTTCTAGGCTGACTGGTGCCGGCCGTGCCGTGACCACCTCATTCGCAAACAATGAACTACCGCCACAGCAAATGCAAGATGCTTTGACTGAGATTGCGACGATATGCAAACAGAGGGGTATCAAGATCATCGTCGATGCCGAGTCAACACACTTCCAGAAGACCATCGACAGAGTGACACTCGAGCTCATGCGTCGCTTCAACACGGATGGAGTCGCATCCATCTACAACACTTACCAGGCCTACCTCAAGCACACGCCCGTTAACGTCACGAACCACCTCACCGAAGCTGCCAAGGACGGATTCACCCTCGGACTCAAACTGGTCAGGGGAGCTTACATCCTCTCCGATAACAGGTCAATGATCCACGACACCAAGGAGGATACTGATCATGCGTACAACTACATCTCTCAAGGGGCTGTAAAGCGCAGCATTGGCGAGTTTGGCACATCAAAGGCCTTCCCGTCAGTCGATCTGTTCTTGGCCAGCCATAACAAGGAGAGCCTCTTCGCCTCGTTGAAGCTACACCAGGACCGGGTCAAGAATGGCATGCCCACCGTCCCGATATCCTTTGGCCAGCTTCACGGTATGTCGGACCAAGTCAGCTTCTCGTTGCTTCAGGCGAAGAAGGAGGGCGTGGAGAGCCCCGCTGTGTACAAGTGTTCTACGTGGGGCACCATGAGTGAGTGTCTGGCGTATTTACTGCGCAGAGCTGTGGAGAACCGCGATGCGGTGTTGAGGACAACGGATGAGCACACCGCGGTGAAGAGAGAGTGTTGGAGGCGGATGAAGTCGGCGTTTGCTGCTTGAAGTGAGTCGGAGACAGCAGAAGATAGATGAATTGAAATGCAGCGGTTGTCATTCGTGCATCATACAAAGAGAATGCGGTAAACGTCCTTTCAGAAATCCTGCGACATAAAACTAGAAACAACTAGATACATTAAACTCTGGCCTGGTTCCCGGTTTTACTGAGCATCTATGGTATGAACAATGTTGTCGTCAACTAGTTTGCAACCTTGATCATGGCTCTATTGTCTCCAGCGACCAACCACGCTAATGAGATTGCTTGACTCACTTCCAACCACTAGTTGTCCTCCCCTCTACTTTGCGGGGCTGGATCCAGCCCATGGCGGTAGCCAATCTGAAAAGACGGTCTAAAAGGAAGCTAAGTAGAGCCATCTCCCGTACAGTTGTAGACGGTTTCACTAAAATGTAAAATCGAAGGATCAGAGGTATCGAAGGAGTACTCGCGTATGCTGTCGTCGACAATGCCATAAAGGTACCCGTCATTCGTGGTTGCAATAGCCGAGAACTTTGCTAGCTCCCCACCTGATTTTTCAAGCGTGATCTTACTCATCGTCTGATTGTGCTGTCCTATGATACGGCCAGTCATTGTTCCGTCGGAGTTGAGTGCTAAGTAAACGCTGTCTAACCAATTGTTTCGCATCGTAACGGCAAATTGTGACCTCGCTATCGATTTTGAACTTTGGGTCGGAGAGAGACTTTCTAGAATAGCACCGTCTGAATATACAGGTGGAAACATTAGAAAGATCTCATTGAGTAGTCCTGCTTGACAAGCCAATGGGTATGTGCAACTTACCTTGATTCCAGATTGTCTGATTTGCATCATACCTCGCTGCCATCATGCTGACCTTAGATGTTGAGGCGTCCGTCGCCCCTGGAGCCTTTGCTACGAGACTGACTTCATCAAGCATGGTGCCACCGAATTGTGTAATTACAGCCAGACTTGTGTTGGTCGTCCAGGCCGGCATATGATCTAGCTGCCGTGGCGAAGTGTAGCGCGCACTATCATTGGAGACGAAGATCTTCCCATTCAGCCCCTGGTAAGCAATCAGTCGATTGACTCGCGCAGCGTCTTTTGAACCTTCGTCATCCTCGTTTGCGGGACGTTCTGTCAATGTTGTCGCAAGTTGTGAGCCGGGCATTGGGCGTAACTTAGCGTCTGTTACCTGGCCGTGGGTGAACCAGTTAACGCCACCTTTTGCGCTGTCGTCACTGACGTCGCGTATCATTTGATCTGTACTCAGAAAGAAGAGCCTAGTGTCGCCACAACCATAGTTGTTGCAGGCCACTGCTGCCATGGGAGCACCGGGAGGAAGGGTGACTGCATCTTCTGTGAATTCAAAGAATAGCGTCAAGTTTGTGGTCGTCCAACTCGTTGAAGGTGCTAGTAGATTTCGCGCCATGAGAGCGCCAGAACCATCTTGGAAGAAGACAGTCCTCTGCGCATTCCCTTGGACCGTTCGGTTCGCTGCTGCAAGCCTTGATTCGTCAAGTATGCAGTGGCGTTTAGAGTCTTTGGCGGTATCCCGACGGCTGAGCACACCTCCAGCAACACCACCAGCAATGGCTCCAATGAGTATAACCAAGCTGATAAGAAGCACTATGATAAACACTCGTCGGGAAAGACCACAGATGGTACCTTTCTGCTCAGGCTTGGTTGTTGAGTCGTCATATTGCTGGGGAAAGGGCTGGTCGTAGCTCTGTTGATCCTGCTTCTGGCGGATGTCCGACGTTCGTTGAAGGTACCGGCTCTCAGTATCCCAGGCATTTGCTCCTTGACCACGTTGTACCTCAAGGCCGGCCTCTGGTCGACGAGGGTCCACCTCGAGGGTGCTGTAAGTCTGCGCACCGGCCATTGACACTCCAGCGTGAAATGAGCTCGATTACTGTTGTTGGATCGTTGCAGCTTGTGACAAAACAAAGATTGGAGAGTAAGAAAGAGTAGAAGTCCAGAAAGACGAGACAACTCGTACCTCAGGGTTATGTGGAAGCTTATTCCACCATTCCGGCGCCGAGGTCGATGCAGTCTATCTGAAATCCTTCACATGGGTGACGAGGCTCGGCCCAAATAGCATTAGTAGTTTCAGTACACAAGAGAGCACTCCAGCCTCCGTGATATCAGTGCTTTTCGACTGCATAAGGTTTTACATGATTCGTGGAAACTCCTTACGCGATCAGCGGGATACACAGTATTAATAATGTCCATGTAACACCAAATGCAACGCCAGGGGCTGAATAGATACTCGCAACCTTCCCTCGTCACAATCAGGCTCGCCATTTTCGGACATTCTGCGTCAGAACTGCTCCTTCCGGAAGTAAAGATCGACCCAGCTGAACAATTGCGCCCCCAACTGTGCATTCATTTCATCCCTCCTGTTATCACAACGCATCAAAACGCTACAGTCGATCAGCAGGCTGGCGCATCTATGGAAATAAGGCGGTACACGTATCATTCCCCGTAACACAGAAGAAGGCTGTGATACTTGGCCCCCAGTAAACGAAGGTATCACGCATGCGGCAAGGCAGATAATGTTTCTCACGTCAGGCCGGACAAGAGCCGCCGGTGTTTAGTCTAAATAAGGACCTTTCCTAGGGTTAGAAGATGTTGTAGTTGGTGAAGCAGGTTGCAGTCCAAGATTTCTTTTCTGTAAGTAATGAAATCAGGCTAGCATGTAAGTGACCGATCTGGATTTGGGATGAACATGCATAACCGGGGTTGATATCCGAGTCCCACTTATCAATGCGAAGTCTTTTTGTCCTAAACCAATGAAAAGTGATGGAACCATCACCTGAAATCGAGGATGTTGGGTGCAGGGGTGCGCGTCCATTCAGTCAAGAGGCCTGTCCTTCCCAGGGAAACGAGATCATGGATCAAAGAAAACAAAATTAATGGCTGTTGGGAGAAGAGCAAAGTCCACGCGCAGTTACGAGAAAGCGTCTACAGGTAGCAACAAGTGTCATTTGACAAGTGTTAATGACTCTATTTTGACTGTGCGTTCGTCTAAGAACTGGCTATCTAAGCCGTGGAGGAAGGCCCGAGGGAGGTTCGCATCTCGGGCCGAGTGGGTCTCTCCGGTCTGGTATGGAGCGATGCACCTTTGAAGTGACCAGGATGAAATCCCACCATGCAGAATCGCGAATCGCGCCAAATGTGACCAGATACATGGCCAACGGTCAAGTGCCCCCAATGGTTGATAGTTGATATACTTCCACTGCACCTTTGATCAGATATGCGAAGTCCTTTTGTTCTTGGCCATCGAAGACGTGCCTAAGTAGCCCTCAGCAGCTTCCATAACGCCAAGACGACCTCACTTTGCTAAGGGAGCGATTCTACCACTGTTCCTGTTTCATACCCTTCTCGAGCACCGAGCAAAGGCCACTGGGTTCTGTCAAGAAATCAGCTATCTTTAAGTCGCAAGTACTATCGAGTCACGATACTATACTTGGCTTGTCCACCACGCTATGGGTACCCGGCGCGATGTTGAGACACACTTAGTCACAGGGAAGACCTACGCCACAGAGGAAGTCTGGGACTGCCACCGTTCGATTATTACCAAACTCTACCAGGATGATAGAAAGCCGTTGAAGCAAATTAAGCTGATTATGGAGCGTGATTACAACTTTCATGCCACGTGAGCTTCGCCCGAGAGCACTGCATACGTATCTAGCAAAGAGCTAACGATATCCAAAGTGAAAGAATGTACAAGACTCGCCTTCGGAGCTGGGGGCTCGAGAAGAAGCTCAAGGAGTCCGAGGCCTTGCATATAGCCCAGCTTAAAAGAGAGCGCGAAGCTATGGGAAAGAAAACAGAGTTCTACATTCGAAACCAGCGAGTCCATTGGGAAAGAGTAGAGCGCTATTTGGAGAGACGTCCCGATTTGCGCCACAAGCTTCGTGCCTCCGCTAAGACTCCCGCTAATGCAGCCCTCGACATAATCTGCCGAACACCCTCGCCATCTCTTGAACTTCCCGCTTTCATAGGTGGGCCCCCTGAAGTACGGCTACCTGAAGAGATGCTGCGGATCTTCAAGGGCTACTTTGAGGGGGGTTTGGAAGGCGGATGGGCAATAGAGGAGGACATGATACATGGATTCGACGATGAGTTCGGTCAGTTACGGGTCATCGAAATGCGCACGGATCTGGATAATGCAATTACCTTATTGGGGACGAACAAGCTAGAGGCTGCTTTTCGCGCCTTGAATAATAGCCTCGATTCGCTCGGCCACGCCATAAAAGAGCAAGACCCGCTTCTCTTTTACATCCTGTCCTACCGCACCATGCAGCTTGGGCCTAGGATATCCGACCCTGTTGTTGCTTTCATCCACAAGATGCACGAGACGATATTGGGCCCTCAACATCCCCTTGCTCTTGTATGGAGCAGGTTCAAGTGCCTGTCACTTGAACTTCGTGCTACGACCCTCGGCATGATGGCTGGCAGCAGTGTTCAGCTTCTCAAAGGACAACAGGGAATCTTGAATAGAGTCGTAGCACTAGCTCTCGGCTCGACGTCAAATGTTCTCGACAGACCAGGTGAGACAGACGTAAGCCAGTTTGGCGAGCTCCTATCCAAATACACTGCCGCCAGCGAAGCACACTTTGCAGAAGGAAATTACCAAAGCTCCTGCGAATGTCTCTCGGTAGTGGCCGGGATCTATTCATGGGGACAGGAATATGAGCTAGCAAAGGAAGCTCTGGCACGCGCACACTCTCTGATACAGGAGAACAAGGGAAATCCTGAGAGGCCATGGCTTCTCTTGGAGCTGTCTCACTACGAAGTCATGGCTCGGCTATGCTATCAGACTGGTTCAGTTGAGGAGGCTGTCGCGTATGGGTGCAAGGCATATGAGCATGCGGCAGAGCATTTTCAGAGACAAGACAAGCACCAATCACTAAGGGCTATTCGAAACCTCATCGACCTCTATCGTTCAGCTGGCCAAGCAGATGAAGCTGAGCGATAGTACAACATACTAATTACAAACATGTCAAGGAAGGGGAAGGCCTAGAGCTTGTAGGCACAGCAATCCAAGTTTCTCAACAATATTCTTTTTTTCTAAGTTCAAACTCATGGGTCATTTCTAAGCTACAACAAGCAATCTGTCGGATTAGAAGTCCAATTCGACCTCGCAGCAGCGCAGGGGCCACTTATCAATCGTATAGTCAATTATAACAACCTACCTAACTTATAATTAAAATCTCCTTTCTACACATACACAATAGAATTATATAATTAATTAAACTACTACTACGTTAACCCACGGTTTAAACTAATCAACTAATATCCCTATAATAAGGATACTAACACTAATTAGTAATTAATTTCCATTATTATAAATTAGCAAAGTATCTTATACGTAAATAAAACGACCTCTTTAAACAAAACGTAACAAAAGAATTATACTATCTAGCCTTACGAAAAGTAAGTAATAAAACACAAATTTCTATAATAAAATAAAATAAAAAGATCGTAGCTCTTAACTACTTATAGAAAATTAACGTCTATTATATTAAAATAACCCCCGCTAATTAATAAAAGTACTAAAGTAACCGAGCTACTATTATTAACCTTATGTATATTTCTATTACTTAATTTCATTATAGCTAGCCCGTAATTAAAAAAACAACCTACGTAATAAAAAAAATTACTTATGTAATAATTACCTACTTAGTTAACTAGTATAATAAACGAGCCTTACTATATAATATAAAAAGCACTACGTAACCTATAAAAAAATCCTTAAATTAAATTCTACCTTCCGCTTCTTACTTAATATTTAGCTTTATATAAAACTTATAATAAAGTTAGTAACGTATAAAAAAATTAATTACTATAAAAATCTTATAAATCTAACCTTAAGGCCTGCGATCTAAATAATTTCCTTATAACCCCCTTAACTACTACTAGAATATTACTACGGAATACTATATAAGAGGTACTATAAAAAAAAAGAATTTAAAAATTATAATAATTACAAAGACTAGTAATTACAAAACTTCAAAACGTAATAGCTAAGGTCTTTAATACTAACACTTTAAATATCTTCTTAAACCTTATTAAAATTAAAAAAAAAAGCACTATTTTTAAAAAAAAAAAAAAAAATCCTCTAGAGGGCCTTTAAAAAGCTCTTTTATATTACTATTCCATAGCACAAAATTACTAATTTTAAAAAAATAAAAATAAACTACTAACTAATAATAATTTATTTAATATATATATATACCTCTCGGGTTTTAATTTAAAAAAACACTACGTAATTAAAACGTCGTTAAGCTACCTATAAATCTATTTCTAACGCTAATT